ACAACGGTCAGAAATGAAGAATACAATATCTGAAATAAAGGATATATTGGAAAGAATAAACAGTAAGTTGGTGAAGCAGAGGATAAAATCAGTGATTTGGAATACAAGGAAGAAAAACCCAACATGATCCACAAAAAGAAAAAGGAATTTTAAAAATGAGGACAGTTTAAGGGAACTTTGGGACAATGTGAAGTGCAACAACACCCAAATCATAGGGGTACCAGAAGGAGAAGAGAAACAGCAAGAAATTGAGAGCTTATTTGAAGAAATAATGATCAAAAACTTTCTTAATCTGGTGAAAGAAAAAGGCACACAAGTCCAGAAAATGTGGAGAGTTCCAAACAAGATGGGCCCAAAGAGGCCCACACCAAGACACATCATAATTAAAATGGTAAAGGTTAAAGACAAAGAGAGAATCTTAAAAGTAGCAGGAGAAAACAATTAGTTACCTGCAAGGGAACTCCCATAAGACTGTCAGCTGATTTCTCTACAGAAACATTTCTGGCCAGAAGGGATTGGCATGAAATATTCAAAGTGATGAAAAGTACGGACCTATAACCAAGGCTACTTTACCAAGCAAGGTTATTATTTAAAATTGAAGGAGTAATAAAAAACTTCCCAGACAAGAAAAACCTAAAGAAGTTTGTACCACCAAATCAGTATTACAAGAAACATTAAAAGGCTTACTTTAAGAAGAAGAAAAAAACAAACAGAGGAACATAGTTAATAAATAAAATGGCAATAAATATGTACCTATCAATAATCACTTTAAATGCATATGGCTTTAATGCTCCAATCAAAAGACATAGGGTAGCTGATAAGAAAATAAGATCCATATGTACACTACTTCAAGAGACCCACCTCAGAATGAAAGATGCACACAAACTAAAAGTAAAGAGATGGAAAAAGATAATTCACTCAAAAGAAAAGAAAAGCTGAGGTAGCAATACTTATATGTGACAAAATAGACTTTACAACCAAGGCTAGAGTAAGTGACAAAGAAAGACACTACATAATGATAAAGGGAGAAATCCAACAAGAGGATATAACCCTTGTAAACATTTAGGCACTCAATAATAAGAACACCTAAATATGTAAAGCAAATCTTGATGGGTACAAAAGGAGAGATTGACAGTAATATAGTCATAGTAGGGGATTTTAACACTCCATTTATATCAATGAATAGATCTTCCAGACAGTATATCAACAAGGAAGTGGTGGCCTTAAATCATACATGAGACCAAATGGATTTAATTGAGATCTTCAGAGCATTTCACCCCAAAGCAGCAGAATATTCATTTTTTTTCAAGAACACATGGAACATTTTCTAGGATAAACATGTTAGAACACAAAACAAGTCTTAATAAATTTAAGAAGACTGAAATCATATCAAGCATATTCTCTGAGCATAATGCTATAAAACTAGAAATCAATCACGAGAAAAAAACAACCCTGAAAAACAGACAAAAACATGGGGGGTAAATAACATGTTACTAAACAATGAATGGATTAACAATGAGATCAAGGAAAAAAATCAAAAGATACTTTGAAATGAATGAAAATGAGAACATAGCAATCCAACATCTGTGGGACACAGGGAAAGCAGTCTTAAGAGGAAAATGCATAGCATTACACACTTATGTAAAGAAATAAGAAAAAGATCAAATAACCAACCAAACTTTATAATTGAAGGAATTTGAAAAAGAATAACAAACAAAGCCCAAAGTGAGTAGAAGGAAGGAAATAATAATGATCAGAGCAGAAATAATCTAAGTAGCATCTAAAAAACAATACAAAAGATCAATGAAACCAAGAGCTGGTTCTTTGAAAGGATAAACAAGATTGACAAACTTTTAACCAGACTCACCAAGAAAAAAAGAAAGAGTATACAAATAAATAAAATGAGAAATGAAGAAACACAAAGGATTGTAAGAAATTATTATGAATAACTTATGCCAACAAATTGGACAGAATGAATGAAATGGATAAATTCCTAGAAACATACCATCTTCCAAAACTGAATCAGGAAGAATCAGAGAATCTGAATAGACAGGCTACAACTAGTGAAATTGAAACAGAATTCACAAAACTTCCCAAAACAAAAGCCCTGGACAGGATGACTTCACAGATGAATTTTACCAAACATTCAAAGAAGAACTAACACATCTTTTTCAAACTCTTCCAAAAAATTCAAGAGGAAGGAAGACTCCCAAGCTTATTTTATGAGACCAGCATTATCATAATTCCAAAACCAGATAAAGACACCACAAAGAAAGAAAATTATAGGCCAATATCCATGATGAACATAGATGTTAAAATCCTCAACAAAATGTTAGCAAACCAGATCTAGCAATACATTAAAAAGATCATATATCATGATCAAGTGGAATTTATTCTGAGGATGCAAGGTTGGTACAATATCCACAAGTCAATAAACATGATACACCACATAAGCAAAATGAAATGTAAAAACTACATGATCCTATCCATAGATGTAGAAAAAGCATTTGATAAAATTCAGCACCCATTTATGACAAAAACTCTCAGCAAAGTGAGAGTAGAGGGAACATACCTCAGCATAATAGAGGCCATATATGACAAACCCAGGTTGATATCATACACAATGGGCAAAAACTAAAAGTGTTTCAGTTAAGACTGGGAACAACACAAGGATGTCTCCTTTCACCACTCTTAGTCAACATAGTACTGAAGTCCTAGCTACAGAAGACAATAAAAAGAAATAAAAGGTATCCAAATTTGAAAGGAAGAAGTAAAAGTGTCATTATTTGCAGATTACATGAGAGAACCCTAAAGATTCCACTATAAAACTACTAGAATTGATAAATGTATTCAGTAAAGCAGTAGGATACAACATAAATCTCCAGAAATTAGTTGTATTTTTATATATCAATAATGAAGTATCAGAAAGGGAAACTAAGGAAACAATCCCATTCACAATTGCTTCAAAAAGAATAAAGTACCTAGAAATAAATTTATGCATGGATGTAAAAGACCTGTATTCAGAAAACTATAAGATACTGAAGAAAGAAAGTGAGGAAGATACAAGTAAGTGGAAGCATATACCATGTTCATGGGTTGGAAGAATTAACTTCATTAAAATGTCCATACTACCCAAAGAAATCTAAAGATTCAGCACAATTCCTATCAAGATACTGATGGTGTATTTCACAGAACTAGAACAAATATTCCAAAAGTGTATATGAAACCAAAGAAGACACCAAATAGCAACCATGATCTTGAGAGAGAAGTACAAAGTTGGAGAAATCACTCTACCTAATATCAAACTATACTACAAGGCCACAGTAATCAAAGAAGCTTCGGACTGGCATAAAAACCGACATACAGATTAATGGAACAGAATAGAGAACCCAGAAATCAACTCATGCCATTATGGTCAATTAACATTTGACAAAGGAGGCAAAAACATACAGTGGGCTAAAGATATTAATGGTGTTGGGAAAATTGGAGAAATATATGCAAAAAAAGTGAAACCAGACCACCTTCTTACACCACATACAAGAATAAACTCAAAATGGCTTAAAGACTTAAATATTAGACTTGAAACCACAGAAATCATAGAAGAAAACATAGGCAGTAAACTTTTAGACATTTCTCATAGCAATATTTTTTCTGATATATCTCCTCAGGCAAGGGAAATAAAATAAAAAAATAAATAAATGGGACTACATCCAACTATAAAGCTTTTGCACCGAAAAGGAAACCATCAACAAAATGAAAAGACAACCCACTGAATGGGAGAACATATCTGCCAATACATCTGATAAGGGGTTAATATCCAAAATTTATAAAGAACTTATAAAACTCAACACCAAAAAAACCAAACAATCCAATTAAAAAATGGGTAAAGGACATGAATAGCCACTTCTCCAAAGAAGACATACAAATGACTAAGAGACACATGAAAAGATGCTCAATGTCACTATCGTCAGAGAGATGCAAATTAAAACCACACTGAGGTATCACCTCACACCTGTCAGAATGGCTCCATCAACAAATCAACAAATGACAAGTGCTGGCAAGGGTGTGGGGAAAGGGGACCCCCGGTGAACTGCAGGTGGGAATGCAGACTGGGGCAGCCACTGTGGAAAACAGTGTGGAGTTACTTCAAACAATTAAAAATGGAGCTGCCTTATGGTAATTCCACTTCTGGGAATTTATCCTGAAGAAACCTGAAACAATTTGAAAGAATACATGCACCCTTATGTTCACTGCAGCGCTCTTCACAATAGCTAAGATGTGAAAGCAGCCCAGTGCCCGTAAAGAGAAAAAAAGTTGCTTCATTGCAGGTAACTGAGACCCTGCTTTTTGTGTGTGTGTCGGTTTATTTTTCAGAAATTAGCTTTTCCCCCCTGGTGTATATTTTTTATTTTATTTTACTTTATCACCATTTATCCCCTCTATGTCCTCTTTCACGTCCACCCACCCCCCTCCACCCGCACAATCACCAGGTGTCCACGTCCATGAGTTCTCTCTCTCTCTTTTTTTTCTCAATCCCTCCAGCCCCCAACCCCCGTGCTGCCTGCCTGCTCTCTATCTGTGAGTCTGTCTCTATTTTGCTTGGTAGTTCAGTTTGTTCCTGAGATTCCACATATGAGCGAAATCACATGGTACTTGTCTTTCTCTGACTGGCTTCTTCACTTGGCATAATGTTCGCCAGGTCCATCCACGATGTTTCAGGGGGTACAATTTTCTTCCTTTTTAGGACCGAGTAGTATTCCGCTGACTGAGACACTGCTTTAAAGTGCTGGCTCCAGCAGAGGCCCCTCAACAATCTGGGTTTGAATTATGCTGAACGCGGGGAGTGCTCTGCTGGGAGAGATCCTGGTCTGGCTTTGGGAGGCTGCAAGCACGCCTGATTGATGCCTCGGAGCATTAGCTGCACGGAGCAGGGGTGCTGTGTGTGAACACGGGCCCTGGGCAGAGGGCTGTCTTCCCCGTTCAGAATCTGAGAAGAGCTGTCATTTTGGGGGTGGGGGTGGGTGGGAGAGGATTATGGCCTTTTTCTCACTGGAACATGCAACACAGGCAGCACCATCCCTCCCTCCGCGCCTGCAGGCTCTGGAGCCGTTTCCCAGAGGCAGCCAACGGCGCCTTACCTTGTGCACACAGGACTTTGCGTTCAGGAAAAACAGCTCCACGGTGGTCTTATCCTTCAGAAACGATATGCTCTCGATGTAAAATCTGAAAAACAGTGACAGAAGCTAGTTTCTTCAGGTTTCTTTCCCTCTCTCAGCATGATTTCGTTTCCTCCTTTAATTTCCCCCTAAGCAGAGAGAGGATTTTAAGAAACCAAGGGAAGCTCGTGCTTTTCCCCCTTTTCCCAGAGTCCGCAGCACGTGTGCGCAGGAGACTGTGCATGTCTGCAGATAAAGTCTCTCAGGGGTCTGCTGAGTCCGTGGGCGAGTTAAAGTGAACCCACAGTGGCCCCCAACTGCAAACCCCACCTGACCTGTGCTGCTCGTTCTTTGACACACGCTCTGGGAGCTCGTAATGCCTCAGGCAGTGCGCGTTAGTGCTGAAAGCAGGGTCCGAGGAGGAAGGCCGTGTAACTGAACCCTGCGGCCTGCTGGCGGCTCAGTGGTTTTCAGTCCCGGGAGGTGTGAGGGCCCCACGCCCAGCCTACCTACCCAGGCAGCGGGTTTCAGCAGACCCCTCCATCTTCCCTGTCATGGCTCCAGGCTCAGGGCTTTCCCTTGGCTGGAAGCCAAACTCTTGGCAGTACTTAACCTTGGTCTTTTCTCATGCAAATCAGAGCATTCTGGGCCCCACTCTCCCCACCCAGTTTGTGTGGGGAGCCCATAGCCCCATGTGGGAGGGTAGGGGAGCCCTTCACAGTTTCTGTTTTCATAATCAGGGCAGGATGAAGCTGGTGGCCTCGGGTGGGGGCGGGGGCCAACCCAGGCTCAGTTTTTCCCTAGTGTTGGAGCCCCACATGAATTATGCAGAAAGAATGTAAGGCCCCAGGACAGCTCACAGCTCTTTCCTGAAAGAGGGCTTGCTCTCAAACAAGTGAGAGTCAAGATGAAGCCAAGCTGGCATGGCACAAGCTTGTCCTTGGCTCTGCAGAATCATGCCAGGCCTCGGGCCTTTGCTCACTCCCACCGCCCACTGTTCAACAATGACAGAACATTTAAGAAAAAAATAAAACTAAAAAAGCCCATGGAAGATTTTATCACTGAGATGGTAAAATCATTTGAAAAATCCCACCTCTAATGTTGAATCATCAAGAGAAGTTCCAGAAAGAGAGTAAATCCTTTATGTTAGGCAGACATGAGCACAGCAAGGCCGATGGGCCAGGCACAGAGGCTCACGGGGCAGGAAGCCCCGGATGCCTAGCGAGGGGCAGGGGCGAAACTGGGAAAGCAAGAACCTTGTCCCCAGGGGAACCCGTCCTCCCCCAGCATATCGCTGGCCATGTGGTTTAGGCCCCTTGACTTTTCCTCCCAAAAGATGACATCTAGGCCTAAGCTGTATTTCAGCTCCAGGCCCAGATGAGCAGCGAAACCAGACAAGTGGTGCTGTGGCTGCCTCAGGACCAGATACACCGACTAATGACCCTGTGCCCTGGCACCGACCAATCAGTGGGGGCCACCACGCTGAAAGAGCACCTGGAGAGCTGATGAATATTCTATTAAGACCTTCCCCTGAGACCTCCTCTAAGATTCCCACCTGCAAGAAAGAGATAAATATGCTCAAGACAAAGCACCCATTGAGCACTTCCAACCAGGGGAGCCACCAGCGCCATCTCCATCCCCCTCTTCCCTGGGAGGGACCCCAGGAGACTTGCAACCAGGGGGGCAATGGGCAGCAGCGGCTCATCCCGGGCTTACCCCCTGAGCCTGTCCCCACGGCCCCCCTTTTCTGACTCCTCAGCGGCCAGAGCAGCCCAGCCACTCTCCTGCTGCCTCTTNATCCCGGGCTTACCCCCTGAGCCTGTCCCCACGGCCCCTTCTCTCTGACTCCTCAGCGGCCAGAGCAGCCCAGCCACTCTCCTGCTGCCTCTTCTGTCCCCTTCCTTGTCTCACTGTCCCAAGTGTGCTTTTGCTGCCGTCATGGACCCAATGCGTTGGCTCAGTGTGTGCGGCCCTTCCCTGTGGGCATCCCCACCCCCATCCCCTTTCCTTAAATAAATCCAGTTTTTCTTTATTCACCATCTGAGATGTTATTTAGCTGGCCACGCACCACCCACCTTAACCTTTTACTTTATATTTTTACTTACAAGGGTTTATTTCACTTATAAGTGAGGTTAATGAAGACTGATGAGCATTAGGTTTGTGAGAGAGGAAGTTAAGGAGTGAGGCAGGGAGGGAGGAGAGGGTTGGGGGAACAGGCTCTGGAACCAGAAGATCTGGAATAGAGCCCCCGCTCATGCGTGGCCTTGGGCAAGTTAGTTAGCTTCTCTGTGGCTTTTCTAAAATGGGTGCAGTTCACACGGTTTGGGGAAGGATTAAATGAGATAATATGTGTAAAACACTCAATAAATTTTAACAATCATTCAACAGTTTTTTGGACAAAAGTCCATTTCCTGGAATGTAATGCTTCAGCTTTGAGTCTGAGGTCCTTAGTCTACCGAGGGGGTGAGGCTCTCACCTAGGGGGCAATCTAAGTAAGAGCGATACGAAGCGCCCAGACGGTACTTGTCACACGACAGGATTCGGGAAACTCACTACTCAGCAAAACTGGCGTTATGTTAAAGCGGGTTAAGGGCGTGGTGGGATTTGAACTCTACGTGAAGGCAGGGGAAACGGGGTTCTGAAGCATGACGAGAAATCGGGGAGATGCTTCCCCTAGACGCCTCCCCTGGCTGATACGCAGCCACACCCTGGCTCCCACCCCGACGGGATTCCTCAGAACCCGGCTCTCCCGTCAGCTCTGCCCTGGCCACCGCTGGGCGGGACAGGTGACCAAGAGCAGCTCCAGGGGCTGGAGAGGCTGCAGGCCACACACTGCTCGGTGGGAGGGCGGGACACACCGGCCGAGTCAGCCTGTCGGAGGCAGGTCAGGGGAAGCAGTGGGGCCGGGAAGAGGCCCCGGCAGCAGCCAGGAGGCGGGGAGGAAGCTCAGAGGTCCAGGGCAGGCGCTGATGGAGCAGATGGAGGGCTGTGGGTCACTGCGATGGCGGCCAAGGCCGGAGGCCCAGGAAGGCCCGTGTCACCCAGCTCCACGCAGCCGAAGGACCCTCCAGTTCAGCGAGGCAGTGGCGGCCTCCTGCTGTCTTCGCGTTCGCACCGTGTACTTTCATCGCCGGCCACTGTCTCCGGAGCCCTCGGAGTGCCGGCCATAGCTCAGAGCTTTCCTACCCCAGGGGCAGAAGCTACCATTACCCACTTCACAGACGGGGAAACTGAGTGTGAGAGCAGCGCCTACATGGCAGGGCCAGGTCCCGATTTGGGTCCCTGGGACTCCACAGGCAATGCTCACAGTGAGCCTCCTTCTGGCTGCCTCTCCTCCAACCAGCATGTACGTGGGAGCTAAGCCCCCAGCAGCCCTGCAGCTCAAATGGCATTAGACACAGGCCAGGAAACCAGAGCTGCAGCACTCCCAGTGAACACACACAAGCTCGTCTGTTCTCATTGCTGCAAACCAGAACCAGAACCAGTGGGAGTAAATAAGGTGAGAAACTTGTTATTTACCTATGAAACACTTTTTTAAAGTGGAAGGAAAGTCTCAGAAGGGAAAGGTTTGCCCAGAGGGAGTCATCTCCCTGCCCTATGAAAGTATCAGGTCAGACTGATGGAACTCAGGGTCTGTTTTCTCTGCCAAAATTGGGTAATTCTTTTTCCCTTTCGCTTTTAATTACTTCAATATATATTTCCAGCAAAGAAGGATTGTATTAAAAGCATAACCTCAATGAATTTTCACACTAACAAAGTTCATACTTCCTTAATATTGAAAATCCAGTCCTTCAAGTATTTTCCTTGTTTCCAAAATTAAAAAAAAAATTGTGTGTTATTACGTAAGTAAAGCCTCAGTGATCTACAGTAGGAGTCACACCGGGAGGGACCCTGGCTGATGTGACAGAGCAGGGCACATTCCTCCTACTCACCTGAGCGCCCTGTCCCAGGTACGGGCATGGGACCCAGCCAGGCAGTCAGACCCTTTCACCGGGAATGTGAATAGAGCCAGAGCGACCTGAAGACCACAGGCAGTCGGAGCCTAGGGTCCTGCCAGTGGTACCTTGATGAAATTGTCCTCTGGTTTCTGCTCCCTCGAGCCCTGCCTGGATTCCTATCTATTCTGAGGCCTGTTAGTTCAGTTTTCCTTCAAGTCTCCTGGCAACCAAAGAATCCAAATTAATACTTTCCCATGTGCAAGGGATAACACAGCAGCCGCTGTGTGCATTTCCTTTAATGTTCAGCACAACCAGATGCTACAGATAGCAAATCATAAACCCATTTACAGATGAGTAAACTGAGGTATTGAGAGTCTTCCCCAACCCATGTAGGTGGGAAGTGGTGGAGCCGTGATTCCACCTAAGGAATCACGGCTCCACCTAAGGCCTGTCAGAGTCCAAAGTTCATATTCCAAACAAATATGACACAATGTCTTCCTACAGCAACAAATACAATGAGATATACACACATGCAGTGAAGTAGGGCCCAGGGAGGGATGCAACGAACTCTGTTTATGACTCGAGAGGGAGAAGAGAAGGCTGCCAAATTGAAATCCATAGGACTAAGTGTCACAGGACACTAAGTGTCCGCTGGGACAACTGAGCTGAGTCTTAAAGAATGCATGAGTTCACCGGGTAACGGGGAGGAAGGGCCCTCCAGGGAAAGGGTCTATGAACCAGACCAATCCTCTTGCTAGTCCCCCTAAACTTTAAGAAACCATAAGCAGGGTGCTGGGTGGCTGAGCACCGAACCACCTGTGGCTTCTCCAGCTCTGAACAGAGACCTTTGCGCTGGAACCTGGGCTCACCCTGTTCCTGCAGCCCAGACCCCCGACTATGCCTTAGCTCCAGTAACCAGGTCCCTATCCTGTTTCCCACTGCTTTCTGGCGATTTGCCGGCTGCTCGCTGCCTTTCCTCCTTGGCATCTGGTTACCTGCTGCCTGAATCCACTATCCCATCCCTCCCTCAAGGGGGCCATTGTCAGGACTTCATATTTCTGGAGTTTGTGACAGTATGGATGGTCCTCTGGGAGAGGGCTCCCAGGCTCCCCTGTCAACATGCACCTGA